AATGCAGCGCTGAGCTGATGTAGAGGTGCTGCCACAGAAATGTTAAAGTCTTTTTCCATGCATCCTCTTGTGCGTATGCGTGCAGTTTGGTTTGTCCACCCCATAGCATGACAACTGCAGGAACAACAACAACATGCATTAACATGTAAAACACAATCACAAATAAAGTCTAAACTTAGAATTAGAACCATATAAAAAATGACATGAGATATCATGCATGCATACCTCTCTTTTTTTTCCATAATAAATAGTAGTTTGTTGAATGAATGGTAGGCAAGTATGGAGGTTCAATCAGATGACCCGCGCCATGATATGTCAGGACTTCCATCAAGTGTCGATTTCCTGCTTTCTCATCATCATTGCCATCTGGGTTTATAAAGTCAATATCAGGGATCTAAGTAATGTCACAGTTTTTTTAAAGCTGAATCCTAAAAGAAATGAGCATACTAAATATAACTTATTTAGCGTGTAAATTTATTGAACAAGCAAGATGATTACATGAGAGGTTAAAAAGTGACTTAACTGCCGTGGTTACTATAAACTGTTGTTGTAATAAAAATAACTGTACATTCTCCAAATATTGTGCTTGCATGTTCTATTGAAACAAAAAAATAATAGCAATATCCAAATATCAGTTCTCCTCCTTCCTCCCTTAGTTAACACCGTTTCAACCTACTTTTGTAAAAATTGCATTTTCTTAGTATTCTTATAGAATGGTTTGTTGCTGTTAATTAGTATTTTGCATTTTGACCCAATATTTTATATCTCACACAATTAAAAAAAAAACGAAAACATCTGACTACATTTGAAAATAGTATTTTGAAATAGTATTTTAGAGTCTAACTTAAGTGGCATTTGCATTATTGCAAAAACGACAACAAATTCTAACGTAAAAACCCAGTATCACATCACAAGGCATGCTGAGGAACCTCGAGGATCAAGATGCAAAAATATTAATTATTTCAACAAATTTACAAAGATACAATCAAAGCTATAGTAGCCTTGAAAGCTAGAGAAGACTTGTTGGTTCACATAAAACATCATGGTCACATGCCACCTTTGAATGTTGTTTGACTGATCACAATATGCTGCCATTTACACCTGTAATTAGAACCTGTGCATGTGTGATCGCATCACTCCTGTGAGACAGGTTAAAATGTAAATGCTGTTGTATACTTATTTCTCTTGATCAGATGCTGATGATGTACTGTGATCATGGTGTCTGATTAGAAACGTATGTATATAGCTATGATCTGTGCAAAGACCACAGCATTTAACATGGCAACCACAGTTAAAAGTTTTTTAAAAAATCATGCATTATGAATGGGTTTTACAAATATTTGATGTGTTTCATAGCAAATTATAAAAATCTAACGACTTACCTTAATGAAATCAAATTGTTCACACGGTTTATTTGGTTCGATATTGTAACATGTGCCATACACAGACATTTATAATTGAAAAATGCTGCAGTGAAACTCCTCATAATTGTATATTATTATTATAGTCATATGGCTTTCTCAACCACAGTTCTAAGGTGCAGCTAATTTATCTGCCTATATATATAGTTCAAGTAGCAGCACTGACGCAAGCAAATTTGAGCATCTCTTCTGCTTAAAATAACTTTCTGCTGTTAGCTCTCATTTAATTGGCCACTCTTCCCATCATTTAATGTCCATTATACAATAGCTTGTTAGCTAGAAAAAAGAACTATAGAGATAGTAGTTACTTACCCTGTAAATGATTTATGTATGTTTTTAAACATTTTTATTAATTGATTGCCCAGCACAAGAGTCTGATTAATTAAGGCTTTTATTAAGATACAAAGGCAAAAACCCCTCACATTCAGCTGAGAATATGTGAGCTTTGAGGCTTAATAAATCTTTACTAAACATTTGTAGTGCGCCTACCACCCAATAATCTCAATGAGCAACCCAGGCTCATTGGAAATGCATGCATGAGTGGTGCTGAAATGCGGGTTTAATATGTGACCCTGGCACATTTTTGTTACGTTGATAAAGGCACGTATTGCTGTGTATTTATTATGTTGCTTCAGGTACGTATTGCGGTGATTCACAATTCAAATATCGGGGAGTGTCGCTAAAAGTTAATGCACTAATGTGTTGGAAATATCCCCTACACTAAACCCAACCGATAGTGTTAATAAATGCAAAACTGGTATAAAAACCGTGCCATTTGAACCTCCTTATATGCAGGTTTGAACTGTTTAGTGGAACCGTAGATCCACTGAATTTGTACCCGAGCTCTTCACCTCTCAAGTTGAACTCCATACTGCGTGAGCTACCGAACAAACCTACTGTATTAAAACCCATACATAGGAAGCTGGATATGTGACACTAATGATCAAAAGTATCAGTTTTCAAATGTCAGCATGGGCCTTTGTCGCCAATGAACCTTGTGATTTGTTACTTTCAATTAGGTATAAAGTCTGTCAAATAAATTGTTAATTTGACCATGAAATTCAAATAATTTTTTGGCACTCTTTATCTGTATTTGTATCTGCCTATATTTAGTTCATGTGGCAGCACTGACGCAAGTAAATTTTGCACATGTCTTCTGCTTAAAATAACTTACTGCAGTGTGTTAGCTCTCATATACTTGCCAACTCTGATTTGTAACAACTAAAAGTCAGTAAAACAGCTTGTACAACATGCTACATTAACTTCAGAAAGCCATTTAATGTCTGTTAAACAGTAGCTTGTTAGTCAGAACTATAATGTGAACTTACTTACTTAAGCCATGAATAATTTACTTATTATTAAAAAAAAAAAGCTTTAAAGATTTCAAAAGTGCAATTTAAATGTTTACTGTAGTAGCCTATAGTAACTAAATTGCAAAGGAGGCTCTCACACTGAAAACTTCAGTTGCCAAATTTCACTCGCTGACCAAAAGTAACTGGATGCAAAAACAGCAAAAAGTTACATAAAACAAAGGCAAAGCAAGATTGTCATTCAGTTCATATTTATACTTAAATGGCAATCCATTCAACTGTCATACATCAGATCTGTCTTCAGGATCTGTAGCAACTTCCAGACAGGAGTGTTGAAGCTGAACTGCATGAAGATAGTCCTCCATGAGAAGGATTATGCATTTAAAACCTATGGTGATTAATTACAGATAGTAACAGGACTAAAAGGAATTTGCCGCCATTAACACCATGATGCATGCGTGTAGTGCTGCTGGCATAGAACACGTTTCTGTGCCTTGACTGTGGTAGTTCTGTCAATGCAGGGTTAGAAAGCACTTGGATTTCATCAAAAATATCTTGTGTTCCGAAGATGATCGGAGGACTTACGGGTTTGGAATGACATGAGGGTGAGTAATTAATGACAGAATTTTTGGGTGAACCATTTCAGGGGGCAAAAATGCCCCAGTAATGAGTTTCTGTTTTTTATATTTACAACATGTGATACAATTAACCATCATCACACAAGCAAGATTGCTTGTTTCCCTGAACATCAGCACCATTACAAATGTTATATTGGTTTTATAGAACAGTTCAACAAACAAGAACCCTGCAAACAAGCCTGAACTAGCCCTTTATGAGCCCACTTAGGGCTTGCCTAAGGGCTCCCAGCGGGCTGCCATCGCAGGGCCTCTGAGACTTTGCTCATTGGCAAAACGTTGGTCTCTTAGCACTGGCCCTGCACGGGCAGCCCTCACTTAGCCCCCAGGAAGCCCTCACTAGGCCCACAGAGGGCCCGCACTATTAATCTACAACAATACATCTGTTTCACTTTAAATACTTTTCAGCTACTATAAATGAAGTCTTTGGGGAAAACAGTTATTATACATTTGAAATGGATGCAGTCACCACATAACTAATGTCTATATTGTAATAAATGTACAGTATTCAAAGGGATTTCAAATCAATGGATTTATTAAATACAAAATAGAAAACATTAATTTCAGGTTAATACAACTACATATATCCAAAAATGTAAATACACAAAAGTACAAAAAAAAAACAAAAGAAAGCAAACAAAGCAATGTAACATCTGTGCAAAAAACATCAGCAATGTACACTTTAAAATATATATAAAAAAACTCCTTTAGACTGGGCTTGAAATGACACATTTCCCAACAAGGACACAGCACAATGGCTGCACCCGAAAACTCTAAAATGCTGCCTTCGGAGGCAGCATTCCAAGGCAGGAAGGCATCAAGGCACGTCCGAATCCAAATTCTGCTTTACTTCCTGTCTCCAGAGGTACCTTCTTCTGATCGAATTTTGAAGGCAGCATAGAGGTATCCTTCACTGATATCCCACAATCCTGTGCATTCCATTCCGTGATGGTTGAGCTAAAAAATAAAGATGGAGTCTGAAAGTTGCGTTTGGTGGTCAGTTTGTGTGTAAATGTATATGTCTGACTAACTTTTTGCACTTTTTATGTTAATTCTAGCAAGAAATCAGTACTGTAGTAATTAAATATTAGTTTATTTATCACAAAAACTCGTTCTATTTTGTTGTAGATCATTAAACCGTTAC